ACTTCTTCCATCAGTTGTCTCTTTCTCTTGCTCACTTGAAAATTTAGAAGTGAATCTAACCATCTGTAGACATTTCTTTACAATAATTTCCTCCAACATTGGAAACTTGAGGATCTTACTTCCCACATAGAAACTTGACAACTCGGAGCAAGACTCCAGTGAAATGGACTTTAGTTGTGGGAATGATATTGAGTTAGATTCAACTACCTCTCCAACTCCTGTAGCTATGATAACTTGTTCTATTGCTGCACAGTCTTTTACCTTCAAGTTCTTGAGTTGCCCAAAGCGCAATACCATGGAAGGGGTTAGAAGGTAGCTCAAACTGCTACAATTACAAATTTCTAGATGTTGAAGCTTTTTGAAAGATGAGATTGCTTCATGATTCTTGTTCCAAATTTGACTAATGTTAATTGAAGACAGCTTCAAAAGATTCAAATTGGGAAACTCGACCTGCAAAGAGATCGTCTATTATAAATAACTTTTTTCTTAATCCAAAGAAAACAACATTATAAAATTTCAAATTAAGAATATGAGAATAATGTTCATAAACATTTCCGATGATAACATCCATCTCAATTTGAGTTAGTTTAACATTGTTTGAGTAATTTCACATTTTAAGTAAAGGTGTGGAAGAATATTGTATAGCCATAACTGTTTATGGTGATTGATAACAAAAAGGTAAATAAATGGAGATAGTAGCATCAGCATCTAAATTCCAAACACCTTTTAAGGAAGTACAAAAATAATTTTCACAAAAAAAAAAAAATAATGACCTTATCACTAAAAAAAGGGTTAAGTATGTTAGGCCTTATATTAAAACTTTTCTTCTTGAATAAGAGAAAAGTGTTTGAATGACATGGAAGTATAAGCATGAATTTCATATGATATTAATTTTGATGAATTAAAAAAGTTTAGTTGAAGAGGAATAAAAGTACCTAGGCTTCTATACTTGCTATGGCTTCAGTATATATTCCCATTATATGTAATTCATAAATTAAAAATATATGAATATATGAATTCTATATATAGGCTTTTGAACATAAAGTTATTGAAGACGTAGAATAGTGGAAATTATTCTCGAGTAAAAAGAGTAGATGCTATAGATTAAAAAGATATGAATAGTCTTTTGACTTTTGTGCATCAAATACATTTGTGTCCATAAAGTTATTGAAGCGATGTGGAAGTGTGGAAATTATGCTAGGCAAAAAAGGAACAGTGAAGTCTTGCTCTTATCAAATTTGTGAAGAAATTTTAAAACAATAAAAAATAAAACTCACCTCATCACAGAAAAAGGCCTCAATGAAGATATTAGGTTCTTTCTTGACAAGCAATTCCTCACTTCTTCCATCAGTTGTCTCTTTCTCTTGCTCACTTGAAAATTTAGAAGTGAATCTAACCATCTTTAGACAATTCATCACAGTAATTTCCTCCAACATTGGAAACTTGAGGGTCTTACTTCCCACATAGAAACTTGACAACTTGGCGCAAAACTCTAGTGAAATGGACTTTAGTTGTGGGAATAATATTGAGTCAGATTCAACCACCTCCCCAACTCTTGTAGCCATGATCACTTGTCCTATTGCTGCACAGTCTTTTACCTTCAAGTTCTTGAGTTGCTCAAGGCGCATTACCACGGAGGGGGTTAGAAGGTAGCTCAAGCTGCTACAATTATTAACTTCTAGAGATTGAATCTTTTTGAAAGGTAATGCTAATTCTTCAGAATTCCTTTTCCAAATTTGAATTAACTCAGAAAACTCGGAGAGTTTCAAACTTTCAAATCCAAAGTATCCAACCTATAAAACTCAACAAATTAATTGCCTTGATATGACACAGAACTCAATAACAATAACAATGATATTAATCAAAGAAAGAAAATACATTAATAACTCTATCCAATTAATCACAAAATCAACTTAGAGAAATATACAAAAATATTCCTTTAAGTTTTTAAAATTAAAGTTGTTTCCTCTCTGTCACTACACTAATGTCTCTTTGATTATTAAATTAAGGATTATAGAAAATGAATGATCAACCCTTGGTTCTTTTAATGTACTTTAGATTCAGAAACTAAGCAAAAGTGAAGCCGTCCTCAATTGACCTTGTAAGCTCTTCTTCTAATCCCCTTATTGAAAGTGCTCTATTCTATGCCTCTGAGAAAGTTCAAACAAGAGAGAATGGCTAGTCTCTTGGCTATCCAAAAGGAAGAAAGTAGACCCATACAATTCTTTACTCTTCACTCTAAACTATCCCATACATTCCCAACAAAAAAATCATTTAAAAGGTTTTCTTAAATCATATTGTATTTACATGTTCTTCTTCTATTTCACTAAATCCAGTAATAGTAAGTAAAGAAGGCTGAATATATAATGATTGAGAAACACACAAGGAAATCTTTTGAATTAGTGTGTACCTTTTGAGTGTATAAGTCTTGTACTGTGCTGTTAAGATCGCTTACCCAGTGTCCTTTCTCTCCACCATCTATCCATTGAACATTTTGTAATTCCTTTGTTACTGTCTTTCCCAAGGAAAAATATTTCATTTGTGGACATCCTATCACAATTACTTCTTTCAAAGATGGGAACTCCAAGTCACACTTCCCTGTGCAAAAGCTTGACAGTTTGGGAAGACCGCGAAGTTGCAAAGACTGGAGTTGGCCATAGACAATGCCATCCTTCACATTATCTTCCATGCATTTGACAATTTCTTCCACTAAGTCACAATCTGTTATGCTCATTGTTTCCAGCCGTTTCAAGCTTCTAGCAGTTGAGTAACTCACTAAATTTTCAAGTCCATGACATTTTGATATTTCTAGAGTCTGCAGGTTCTCAAAAGATACAACTGATGGCACTAAATTCACCAATTTAATACACTCAAGCACCTCTAGAGTTCGCAAGTTGTAGAAAATCGATTTGAGGTCAGATTCTTCCTTCCAAAGATGCATTAACTCATTAAGTTTTGATAATTTTAATTCACTTAACCGAGAGGGCGTAGGCCTTCCCTCACTACGAAGTCTCTCACATTGGAAAATTTCATGAAAGGAAGCTTCACTCACATCCAGCTCCTCAAGATTAGGTAGTGTCTGGAAGAAGAAACTAAAAGAAGGAAGAAGAGCTGAGCAATTTTGAAATTGGAGGAATTTAATATCTTTTAGTTTGGGAAAATAGACCCCTGGATATTGACCACGCCATATCTCCTTCATGTTGTCATTCTGTTTGAATTCCAGTTCTTCTAGACAGGGGAATGAATCCTGACAAATTGAAAAATACAACATGTTATAAATTGAATAAAAATATACAAAATAGGTATACAAGACAAATCCTTTGTATAACGTGTTTTGCGATTAAGCTACATAATGCAAAAGCATGCCATCTGTCCTATGTCACGAAGATTTTTGTAAGCTCATGAGTGTGTGTTTTTGGACCATTGCGCAGTTGGGGGTATGTTATGACTACCTTTGGCATGTGATTAGACATGTTATTTAAAGTGGCACTATGATATGTCATATTAATATGAGATACTTTCATGTCCAAAAATGTTTTACATTTATCTATATTCTATTTATGCTATGTCTTGACTATATTGAGACCTATCTATATGTGAGTTAACTAACCTATGCTTACTAACAAGCTGCATTTGCTCTATTCTTTGAAACGTCTCTCTAATTGGTTAGCATGAGCTCTAAACAAGTAAAAATTATGAAATCCATACTTCAAGAAAGGTAGTTATATATCACTTGTCAAAACTTAAACCCAAGCCAACATTTGTCTAATAGCTATATACATGTACGAGAATCTTCCATTAGAGATAAAAAAAGAAAAAAAAGAAGAAGAAGAAGAAGAAGAAAAGAAACAAAACTAATCAAATTTTTTTACAAATATTATAATTTGATTGGCTTCATAAAATTAAATAAGAAGATATCATATTACATTAAAGTGTACAAATGCAAAATTATAGATGGAAACCACATTGCATTGCATTCCCAATAAATATGTATTTAAGCTAAATAATAACAGGCGACTTAATTTTTCACATATGAAAAATTTTAGTTCCCAAATACTTCCATGGCAGATTAAAAAATGAGAGAAAAGTCATTATTTTTAGATAAAATAAAAATAAAGCAAAATTTAGAAAAGATCAAAAGAGAAGAAGGTAAGCTTTGATTGATTGATTTTTTTTTATTTAGTTTTCCTACTTCTTCCTACTTGAATTTAAGAAAAAAATGATTTGTATAAGCTACATGCAATTATTTTTTCCCATTTGGTGTCGTACCTTGCCAATCCAAAACATAGGATCTTGAGTTTGCCTTTCAAGTTGGTTGTCTCCATATGTTGTTTCAATGCTTGGAAATTCTGAAGCAAATGTCTTCACCTTGTCACATTGTTCCACAAGCATTCTTTTCAACAATGGCCATTTTGTGATGTGGATTTGAGGGAAGAAACCCTTGAAATTGGGTAGATGATCAAGTTCCAGGTGTGTTACTTGAGGAAATACAAGCTGAGTAACTTCTGTTTCCATCAAGTTTGATTGTGTGGCTGCAACTACTTGCGATCCACTACCATTGAGTCCTTGAGCTTCATATACTTCTCCAAGAGAATTGCAATTGGAGCAAAATCTTACGAGTTGCGGAAGGTCATAGAGGTCTAAGCAGTCTAATTTGGGAAACATTGTGTGGCTTGTCTTTTCTTTTTCTACCAATTCTTCTATCAGCATTACCACTTGCATATCCTTACCTCCCCAAATCTTGAGTACTTCAAGCTGCCCAAGACTTTTAACCATCGATGACGTGAAGAGATATTTCAACTTATGACAGTACCGGAGAGTCAATTTCGTAAAGTTTTGAACAAATGAGGACATTGATGTAATTTGGCTGTGCCATATTTGCTGTACACAAATGGAGTCCA